TGTATAGATATAGATATATATAAGTATAGAGATAGCGATATAGATAGATATATAGAGAGATACAGATATAAGTGGTGAGATGAGATAGAGAGATATATATATATATATATATATATATATATAATATATATATATATATATATATATATATATATATATATATATATATATATATATATATATATATATATATATATATATATATATATCTACATGTATATATATATATATATATATATATATATATATATATATATATATATATATATATATATATATATATATATATACATATATATTATGTATATATATATATATATATATATATATATATATATATATATATATATATATATGTATATATATATATATATATATATATATATATATATATATATATATATATATATATATATATATATATATATGTATATATATACATATATATGCATATATGTATATACATAATACATACATATATATATATATATATATATATATATATATATATATATATATATATATATATATATATATATATATATATGTATGTATTATGTATATATATATATGTATATATATGTATATATATGTATATATATACATATATATATATATATATATATATATATATATATATATATATATATATATATATACATATATATATATATATATATATATATATATATATATATATATATATATATATATATATATATATATATACATAATATATATGTATATATATATATATATATATATATATATATATATATATATATATACATGTATATATATATATATATATATATATATATATATATATATATATATATATATATATATATATATATTTATATATATATATATATATATATATATATTATGTATATATATATATATATATATATATATATATATATATATATATATATATATATATATATGTATATATATATATATATATATATATATATATATATATATATATATATGTATATATATACATATATATACATATATATATATACATAATACATACATATATATATATATATATATATATATATATATATATATATATATATATATATATATATATATATATATATATATGTATGTATTATGTATATATATATATGTATATATATGTATATATATGTATATATATACATATATATATATATATATATATATATATATATATATATATATATATATATATACATATATATATATATATATATATATATATATATATATATATATATATATATATATATATATATATATATATATATATATATATATATATCAATTGTGTGAGAAAGCAAAATGTTTCAGTGTATATTCAGTGGCTCTTGATGAGACCACAGACATCAGAGACACTGCCCAGCTCGCAATATATGTTCGTGGTGTTAATGACAATTTCGAAGTGATGGAGGAGTTGCTCACAGTAATTCCAATGCATGGCCAGACCACCTCTAAGGAAATATTTCACCAACTGTGTGATGCTATTGAGAATGCCGGTTTGTCATGGAAGAGCTTTGTTGGAATAATAACCGATGGAGCCCCATCAATGACAGGGAGGAAGAATGGACTGGTAGCACTTGTTAAAAAAAAATGGAAGATGAGGGTGTAGAGGAGGCCATAGCACTGCACTACATTATACATCAGCAGGCCCTTTGCAGCAAATGCCTTAAGGTTGACAATGTGATGACTGTCGTTGTGAAATGCATCAACCAAATCAGATCCAGGGGCTTAAAGCACAGAAGGTTCCGTGCTTTTTTTTTAGAGGAAATAGAGTCAGAATATGGGGATGTGCTCTGCTTCACTGATGTACGTTAGCTTAGCAGGGGAAACGTATTGAAGGGATTTTTTGAGTTGAGAGCAGAAGTAAAAGACTTCATGGAAAATGATGGGCTGGTTGTTCCTGTGCTTAGTGATCCCAAATGGCTCATGGACTTTTTCTTGTTGACATCACACATGAGCTTAATGTACTGAATAAGAAGCTATAAGGCCAAGGGCAACTTGTCAGTGCTGTCTATGACAATGTGAAAGCATTCTGCACAAAACTTGTGTTATGGAAAACCCAGCTCTATCAGACAAACCTTTGCTATTTCCCAGCATGCAAGGCACTCGTGGATGCAGGCACACCATTCAGTGGTAAGAAGTATGTTGAAGCCATTTTGGAGCTACAGAGAGGATTTGATCACAGGTTTGCTGACTTCAAGACGCACAAATCCACATTTTAAATTTTTGCGGACCCCTTCTCTTTTGATGTGCAAGATGCCCCTCCTGTGTTCCAAATAGAGCTGTGTGACCTGCAGTGCAGCTCTTCTCCACCTTGAACTTCAATAAGTCTAAGTACAGGTCCAGATTTACTGAGGAGCATCTTCAAGCCCTACTCAGAGTCTCCACTGCTTCCTCTATCAAGCCAAATGTGGCTCGGCTATGTGAAAAGAAGCGCTGCGAGGTCTCTAGCAGCAAGAAGTAGGCAAGAGAAGCCATTTTTAGAGCAGTTCATGTTTAACGTTCCATTCATGTTCAGAAAGTTAAAGGTTAAAGAACTATTAATACAGACATTTGAAATTGAATTTAAATAATTAGTTTTCTCTGGTCAGTCAGTCAGTCAATATGTGGTTTCTTCAGTCGTCTGTATCTGCTGTATGATCATTATCATTATTTTATTTATTACTGGTTGATTTATTTTTTATTCATTTTTTTGTGCTAAAAATAAAGATATTTGAGAACATTGGAATGTTTTATCAGTGCTTTGCGCCCCAGCCTCACCCAGACTCTGCCTCCAGCGGCCCCCGGGTAAATTGAGTTTGAGACCCCTGGTGTAGATAGTGCCTTGCCTGTAGTGAGCTGTGATAAAAGGACAGTGTACACTACCCTCGTGTCCAGGCTGAGTGGGCAAGCAATCGTGTTTATGAATGTACATAGCCAACTTTATGAAAGCCTCACATCGCCTCATCAGGGCACGAACGTTCCCTTTCTCCTTTGTGTACACAAGCAATTCTATCGATTTGGCGTTTGACTTGACTAACCACATTTGCTTTGCATCAAAGGATCTCCCAGCGCAGACTGCCTACAGCTTAGTTCCTTTCATGTGGCTGGCTTTGTCGTTGTGTGTGACAGGGCTTCTCAGTCCATTTTGATACAATCAATTATTATGTCTGATATTGCGATAATGGTATTATTATCATTCTGTTATTATGAGATTGCCCTTTGTTCGAGTTGCCATTATTAATGATGGTCTTTCATCGACGTCAACTTGCCAAAGTACTTGCCTTAGGTTCGCGTATCTAAACATCCTTAATTACGAAAGAATTACCTGGCTGTCTTCAGTCGTATTGAGCTATTTCTTCTCTATTTTAATACTATAAGAACCAATGCCTCCCATTTTCTTCGCCCTTTTCATAAATAAATTAGGGTAAGTTTTCATGAAGAACAAAGGCCTGAAAATGAATAGCCTTTTGGAATTATTAATTTTTGTTCAGACTTCGGGAATTATTAATTTTTGTTCAGACTTCGGTACATAAGAGGCACGAAAATCTGATGCAGTCATTGAAATTATTACCATTACTATTATTTTGAGTATTATTATTACTATAACTATTGGCAGTATTGCTATCGTCATAATCATCATTATCATTATTATTATCATCATCATTACTATTACTATCATAACTATCATTATCATTACCATTACCGTTATCATTACCATTCCTATTGTTCACTGGCATTGGCATTGGCATTATCGTCATCACTATTATTATCATTATGTCATTATTACCATCACACCTACTGTTATTATAATCATTATGATTATCACCGTTACCCTATTGTCGCGGACATTGCCATTGGCAATTATCATCGCTGTTATTGTCATTATTACTATCACACCTATTATAATAATTATGATTATTATCATTATTAGTATCATAACTATTATTATCACTATAATTATCATCATTACTGTTATTATTAATATTATTCTTAGCACCATTATTATTAATATTATTCTTAGCACCATTACTATTAATATTATTCTTGGCACCATTATTATTAATATTATTACCATTATTATTATAATTGTTATTACTGTATATTACTTCTACTTTTTATTATATGCACCATTACATCTACATCTTCATTGTTATTATCATTATTTCTGTTGTTACAAATATCATCATAATAATTGTTAATACTTGTTTATCATAATTCGCATTTTCATCATAAGTATTTGCATTATCATTTTCAGTATTTTCGTTATTATTATAGTCTTTATTTACCTTTCCTAGTTCTACATCTACGTTTACAATTCTTCTACTGTACTTGACACTAGTACACTATTTGCCATCCTGTTCCGCTGCCACCCTGTCTTCTCAGCTTTTCCTCTTCGTCTGATTAACCTTACCCTTGTTTTTTCACTCGATTGTTTCTCCGTTTTACTTCTCATTTTTCGAACTGAGGCAGGTTGTCTGTTTTTTTATTTTTATTTATTTATTTTTTTAAAAAGTAAGCTTAAGGTGTGTTGCCTTACACAGCATTCTGGTTATGTTCGAAATATCTTTTTATGGTCATTATTGGATCGCTTTAATCACCTGAGAGCCATTATTATTATCATTAGTATCATTAATATTGAGAATATTATTATTTTCATAATTTGAACTTTCATCATCATTGTTATTATAATAATTTTAATGAGCTTAATTTCTATAACTGATAATAATGTTATTATCCTAACTGTTATTACCATCATCATCATTTACCATGCTGTTTTTTTCGGTCTCGTATCATCATTCATGGTATTTGTGTTATTATCATTATGCTTCGTAATCTTACCCAACACGCGCTTCGAATCACACGACAGGATCCCCCAAGAGAAAAATAATTCAAGCGAGTAGCATGCTAATAAAAAAAAGGACACCCTATGTTAATAAGACTTAGGATTTACTAGATGTGCGTGCTGTACGGGATCTGAACTTCTTGAAAGATGATCCAGAGGGCATCTGACAGAAAATAAAGCTTTCACCCCCCTCGCTCCTAAGGAATAAACATACACATATATATGGGTCTAAAAACTCTTGTGGGTTTTTATTTTGTTATATATCGGATGTCGGTAAATAACCGAAAATAATGAATAATTAAATGATGTCTGAGGTTACATTATTTACAGTGTAAATGTTTTAAAATGTGTAATAGAATTATTATGCTGAATACTGTCCATTGATCATATATATATATATATATATATATATATATATATATATATATATATACATATATGTATGATTATATATATATATATATATATATATATATATATATATATACATATATGTATGATTATATATATATATATATATATATATATAATCATACATATATATGTATATATGTATATATTTATATATCTATTTATGTATATATACACACATACATACATACATGCATATCATATATATATATATATATATATATATATATATATATATATATATATATATATATATATATATATATATATATATATATATATATATATATATATATATATATATATATGTATATATATATATATATATATATATATATATATATATATATATATATATATATATGTATGTATGAATATATCATACCAACAGCCTTTGGGGCCCAACGTCCGCCTGTGGGCTTCCCTTGGGCTTTGCCCCACAGGCCTCACAAGGGAAGAGGACTGGCAAGGCCCACTTCCCTCAAGCCCTCCATTAACCCCAGGGTGGCAGGAGTTTCCATGTGTGGCCATGAGGAGGCACTGTAGAAGTAACGGGCCTCTGGTGCCTCAGCAGGTGGTCTCTGATACGTCTCACCAGGATGTGCAGGATGACCACATCCCTCAGCAGGTTAGAGGGAATGGTACCAGTCTGCCAGATGGCAGACAGGACAGCATGCAAGCATCTTGCTATAGGTTCTCCACCAGCCTTTAATGGTTCAACTGGGATGCCGCAAACACCTGCTGCCTTACCACTTTTTAGCTTGAGATTATCTGGCCACTTGCTGAGCGGACTGCAGTTGTCTGTGAGGAGGGTTTGGAGTTCAACTTTCTCAGGGCTTGGTAGGCAGGACAAAGGTCACTTACTAGGAAATGGCTTTCGGCCTCCTCTGCAAGATTCCTGATATACTGTTCCTTATCCCTTCTCAGCAGTGACCAAGTCGTGCACACCAGGGAACGGTGCAAGTTGCGATCCCCTGACAATCGAGACACATGACAAGCATCTGTGGCTTCCATTGACTCCTGCAAGATGGAATTCTGTCTTGCTCTAGGGCATTTACCAATCAACTTTTGGGCTGTATCAAGCGTTTCATGCTTGAAGGTGTCAAACAGAAGAACAGGATCTGTCAGGCCCTCGAGTGCTGTGAAAGGATCAGAGATAGCCTCGGCAAACCCCCGGGCACACTCACCCTCCCTCAATCTGTCCACATGAAGCACCCTAAGGTGTTCATTGGAGCGATGGGGGTGGAGGAGGGTTCTCAACTGGACCCGGAGAGTAACCACAACTAATCTATGATCAGTTCCACAGAACTCGACACTCCAGTGCACCCTGCAGTTCTGGAGGATCCTCCATCAAGTGCTAAGGAGGATGTGGTCGATCTCCTTGGCCACATTACCCACATTACCAACGATGTGGGTCAGAATGCTAACACCAGGGGGCAGAAATCCTTAATTTCTGGGACCTAACAAATTCACAGAAAAGGAAGCTATTCTTACCGCCATCATCAGCTCCAGAGCCATGAGGACTGACAGACATCTCGCAGCCAGCTCAATCGAATCTAGATACCCAGAACAATACAAATATCTTGCCGAGGACAGCTGTCTGTCACAGATGCAAGTTTGGCGTAAAACGTCTCTTTCACCTCAAGTTTATTTACATCCATAGGAACATACACAGGAATTAGAGACATTAAGCCAAATGTAAGCTTCAGTCTCAATACCATCATCGACTGGAGTGACCTCTACTACCGAGGGTTGAAGTCTGCTGGAGATGGCTATGGCTACTCCCTGGAGATGGAGGCCATCACTGTGGCCTGACCAGTAATAAGTGTAGCCACCCACACTAATCGTGCTGCTGCCAGGTCTTCTCACCCCTGAGAGAGCAACCACCTCAACTCTCAGCTGCTTCAATTCCCTCGACAGAAGTGGTAACCGATCGTCCTGTCGTTCCAAGCCCCCACCCTGACCGACGCCGCCCCATATAGAGAGGTGTGGCTGGCTGTAGGTCCCATAATCCACCTGCAGGATTCCCGGTGGCTTTGCCCCACAAGTCTCATGCCAAGTTGGCGGCCGCCGGGACGCAGATGGGAAGACGGGTAATCCCCGCTCCCTATATATATATATATATATATATATATATATATATATATATATATATATATATATATATATACCCGCTGGGGCTAGGGTAGCTCCTACTCAGTTCAATTCCCCGTCGCGGCGGTCGTAAA